GGGCTGCGCGCCGCGGGGGTCGGCTGGGCGCTCCGGAGGGGCGCGGCGTGGGAGCGTGCGGCCCCGGGGCGCCCGGGCTGAGACCCTCCCCGCAAGCTGCACCCTGTTTCAAACCCAGACTGCAGCAGGACAGCCCCACTCCGTGCACGCCCGCCCGGAGGTTAATGCTGGCCCTGGAGAGCGCGTGGGGGATGGAAGCGTTAATTTGCGCCTCGCGACGCGCTGCCTGCTGCGCACTGCCAAAGACTTGAAGCAAGTAGGCGATGGCCACGTCGGGAATACCAGTTGGGATATGCCTTAGAAATGCTTTACTCGTTCCCCGAGACGCCACAGTAACTACTGATAGTCCCTAAAGCTCCCGAGAAACTAGGTCTCCTCAAACCTGTGAAGGATAACGTGAGGATAGACAAAGCGTAGTCGAGCAAACTCCTCGCAGTTCACTGCTGCTTATTCTCGCAGCTGCTCGGCACACAGTAAAATTGCGTGTTTACCCAGTTCCCAAAGGGTTTGCTCCCAGTGTCTATTAACCAAAACACGTTGAGAAACCGTCATCTCCTCACTTAAGGTTTTCTAATTGTCTACTTTTTAATTAAGGCATCAGGAGGGTGAAAGTGTATCACTTAAATCACTGCTACAGAAATGTATGTCATTGGATTTTACCTAGATAAGTAAATCTCTTAAGGCTCTGGTATCTTAAGAATTAGAACTCCCAACTACAAATGTTATTCCAGGGCAAAGGACCTTGCCTTCGCCTCTTAAAGCCGCTCACCGGGAAGCCCAGAGTGTAGACCCACCTTCTGCTGGTCCCCCTTGGAAAAATGCTTGTCCTCTAGGCCATACGTGGTGTAATAATAGCCCGGGATTCAGATAAGCTAGTTTCTCTGCCTTTGTAATGCCTAAAAGCCAAATTCTCAGGACTGGATGGCATACAAGAAAGGTCTAATGGTTTCAGTGTTTTGTTTGCTGGGATTATCATCTGTGCAGATAACTTTGTATTTGCATCCCTAATAGATTTCTTTCGAAGGAAAAAGACATTTCAGTAGGGCTGGAACCGTCTTCACAATTTTGTCTGTTCCATTTTGGCTGACCCAAGCTACTCCTTTTTGAAAAGGGTCAGATATTCATGTAAGGACCAGCTTTTCCATTTGGATTACACTATAAATAAAAGGGCTTTTGCAGTTAACCACTCACAAGGAATAGAATACTTCCTTCTAAATGAAACTCCCACACTGACCCATACAAGGATCTAGTTCATGGTCTCTGAAAACGAAGAAGGAATTTTAGGAACAAGGAAGGTTAAGAGCAGCATTTATTTATTGGAAGCAAGAAAGCTGTCTGAGAGGGGAATGGGAGGGGTACCAAGTGGGTTGCCAAGGAATGTGCCTGGGGGGGGGGCTTTTTATAGAGCAAAAGCATGAGGTGAGGTGGATCCAAGGTGGAAAACATAGGAACTTGCTAGGTGGGCATGAGGGGGCCGACCTGGCACCCCCAGGGCCCTCTACTTTCTCCTGTTGTGGGCACCTGAGGTAGAAATAACTACAGGCAGTCAGTTCTTTGTGGTAGGTGTACACATACAACCAAACCCAATGGATTCCCTACCCTGGTTTTTTGGGGGGAGGAGGTATTTGGTACTTCTAAAGATCGAAGCCAGAGCCTTTGTACTGAGCTGTATCCCTAGCTCTTTTTGTTTGTTTATTTGTGACTGGGGGTGTCATTCTAAATCACTAAATTGACTAGGCTAGACTCCAAAGTGTAATCCTGCTGCCTCAGCCTCCCAGCGTGCTAAAGACTACAGCCCACTCTCATTCTCCACCATGTCTGACTGACCGCCACCCCCTTTAACACTTCTGTAGCTTGCAAGAAATAACACTAATGATCATACTTTCTTTGAATCAGAGAAATAAACTTCCCTTTTCTGTAATAAAAGTTACCCAATCTTTCAATTCAGGGATTGCTCCTGCATTTATTGTTGCTTGAATGCCTTCAGTAAAAAGCAGTTCACTGGGATGAAGCTTAGTGGTAGACTACTTATCTAGCCTGAGAGGGACCCTAAATTTAGTTTTTGTGCATCTCAAAAAGGGGAGGAGGGACTCACTGCTGTGTAAAGCTGTCTACCCCTTTGTGAGATAGTGCTAAAAAATTGAGAGGAAAAATTAGAATGTGACTGACATCACTAAGTGCTTACAAAATACCAGGAACCTAAACAAGCACTTTCCGTGTATTATCTCATTTATTTCACACAATCCGATAACATAAATCATTGGCATTTTAAGGGGCACAGGCAGATTAAACTCCTTAAATTCTCATGAAGGCTCTGTTTTCATAGAGGCAGTATAGCCCCAGAGGTCAGCTCTTAGCTGCTGCTCTATCCTCTGCTTATATATATAATATACCTAAAATTTTTTCTCTTGTGCTAAGCTAAAATCTGCCTCCCTGAATATTTTGAAATTTTTAAAATTTATTTATTTTTCCATAATTTTATTGAGAAACAGCAATGGAAAATTTTTTAATTTAAATAAGCCATGATCATTAGGTTCTGGTGAGACAATCTAGAAAAATCACAGAGTCATTAGACATAAAACAACTTGGAAAGCACAGAGGAGGGCAAGATTTAGGAATGATGCTACAACAGACATGACTGTGCTGGAGTTCAGCAGACACACAGGAGAGACGGTGTATGGGGAGGGCCCCTCAGCCTCTATCCCTGAGATCACTGCCCAGGTGAGCATTGCACTGTAAGAACAAAAAGGCTAGTGGGTGGCAGCTCCCCATGGCCAGCATATCCACACCATCCTTCTGTTAGAGGACCTCTCAGGGTTCCTGGCTTAGGGAAAGCAGAGCTTTTATATAATATTTTATATTTAAGATGGTTAAATATAAAACAGGGTGGTCTTATTTTTTACCCTTTAACAATATGAAAGAGTTCATATCTTTTCATTCTGCTGAGAGCTCCAATATGTTAAAATGGGGATGGAAGTGAAATTTACATGTATCAAGTGCCCTGAAGAAGGCTAGCAGCACTGAGGACAGAGAGAAGGGGAAGACCCCAGAGACAATGGGAAGGTAGAAGGGCCGTCATCTGTCTTAGACTGGTGCAAGGATGGTATGAGCATCTGCCATATTGTCTGGGGGAGGGTCTCAGCATGGAGACAAAGTATAGGACAGTGGTTTTTGTTGTGCTTTTTTGGGGAGGGGGTGGAGGGTTTTGGGCCCAGGGCCTTTGCCCAGGTCTATATTCCCAACCCTTTTTTGAGACAGGGCCTTGCCAAGTCACTTAAACTGGTAAGGCTGGGCTTAAACTTGCTATCTTCTTGCCTCAGCCTCCCACAGTGCTAGGATTATGGGTGAGCAACACCATGCCCAGCAATGATTGTGGCGTTTTTTTTTGTTTTTTTTTTTTTGTTGTTGTTGTTGTTTTAATATATGGGCTGCCAAAGGGAGTGCATGACTATGTATTGTACCTAGTAAATTTGTGATGATCAACTGGAAATATAAGATTAGTGATAAATGTGCAGGCCTGAAATTTAGAAAGGATCTCAGAGATAGTTTTTGGTTTGGGAGTGATCAATCAGAAAAATACATTGAGTACCTATTTATGTGTCAGACCACTCTGGAAGATTCTAGTGATGCAATTGGACCTGCACTTGAGAATAAGAACAAGTTCTCTCTCTACAGTGAAGTAGGTGACAAGGGCAGAGCCAGAAGGAGATATTACCTGTACCTTGAGCTAATAAATTGATCCTCTTTTAAACCATGTGTTTTGTTTTGTTTGTTACTTTTAACCAACATTTTTCAAAATGGGTACTTTGAAGTTACTTACAGAGACAGAGGGTGTAACTGAGTGGTAAAGCACTCATCTAGCACGCACAAGGCCCTGAATTCAGATCGTCAGCACTGCAAACCAAACAAAGACATTGTTTTTACAGAGAAGGTGTGGCTCTGCCTGAGAATGGGTGGAGCTGGGCTTCCTCAGGTGTGGACTGTCACTCAGTGATTCTACTCAGCTCTCAGATTTGCGTGCTTTGGAGTGTTTCTCAATGAAGGTCTTATTAGCATGTTGGGTGGGACAATTTTTCCTTGTGTGGGATGGTAGGTCCCAGTACACTATAATACCCCCCTATAATACCACCCATGTCAGTTGGGCTCCTAGCCACTTTGACATACATGTTTTCAGGTGCCTAGGGTTGGGACGTGGGTGTCTACATTGAGAATGTTTGCCTCTTGTGTCCCTTGAAAGACACCAGGTACACCCAATCCAGCCTGTTTATCAGAGTCTATCTCATGAAGAATATTCCCTGAGAGAAGTTATCACACTTAAAATACTGTCCTTATTATTTCCAATACTTAGCAGCTATCAGTGCCTTCCATAAATTCATAGTCAAGATTACACCTGCTCTGCTGTGTCACAAGGGCATTGAATCTGGTCTTTGCAAGTTATGGAAAACTTCACAGGAGGGGGAAAATCTAAGCTGAGACTCAAATTAGACTCAAAAGGCCTGAA